TTTGCAACATATAGTCAATTTTGGGTACATTAATAGTGCGATAATTTATTTCAAAGACAAAACGATTTAAGATATCTATTAAAAAGTTTAAGACAAATAGATAGATAAGATAATCCGTATAAGAATTTCCATGACTGTTAATTTCCATGACTGTTAATCTATGTTAGTTCCGTATCTGTTAATCTATGTAATCTCAATTTCTTAATACAAGAGGGATGGGGTTAATAAAAGTGGATGGAGGAGTTTGGTCAAGATTTAATGAACCGGGGGAGGAGAGGGTCAGAATTTACACTGAAAGTTTTAATACTTATCAGTAACTAGTATGTATTTTTTGATTTTTAAAGCTGATTTTCACTAATTTTTTTTTAGTTTTTAGATATAATTTTTTTGTTAAAACAAGTAAAAATTAATAAACGGGAGGGGGTCTAAATAAGCTTAGTGTAGGTGGCAAAGTTTCCCCAAAATTAATAAACGACCCCCCCCCTTGGAATTAAGGACTCGAGAGTACACAATCAAATAAAGCCAAACACAATGAAATAGAACAATTCAACGAGTTTTTCATTCACTGTTTTCAAAATTTTAAAAAAAGTTAAAAACCTTAACCCCATTAAAAAATAGAACATTTTTTATATTATGATAGGTGCTGAAATATATTAGTCGAATCAGTAGACTATAAGTGGTTAAATCTTTTTTTAAATCTATAACAATACTGAAATTATTAACAAGTCTTTGACTAATTTCTTTATTTGTTTGTGTAAAAATAAATTTTAGATTTATGTTTATTTTGTACATATTTTGACGTTTTCGGCGTGTTTTATTTGGGTCCACGTTGTTCAATTAATAATTTATTAAAGAAAAATAAAATTAATTTAAGTTAATATTTATCATCAAAGTTTTGTTAGGCTCAACGTATTATAAATTAAAACATTTGAAAATTTATTTTGTGTCAAAAAAGTTTAGAACATATTGAAACGTATTATACAGTTATTTGACTATTTCATGGTACGTCTGCGTTAACCCCCAAAAAAGTTCTACTTATGAATTGTCTAAATAATTTAGATTTAAAATTTATTTTCTAATAAAATTTTATTATAAGTTAGTTTACGCAACTTTTTACGCAAAAAAAAAAAAAAAAAGTTTTTTTTTTCGGTGCTAAAAATTGAACGAGATACTTTAAGAAAATATTTCATAAAAAGTCTATGAATTGAAAATATTAAAACACGTTTATCTTTGGAACTAAATAAGCTACAGAGGTGGTTGAAGCCATTTTGAAAATGAAATATATTAAGGAATATAATGCATTTAATATAAAAAATATTTACATTTGCTATAAATATTGCCTAAACTGCCTACATAAAGCAAGCGGACAGAATTGCACACAATTTTAGAAGGTGCTAAAACGTACTGTTAGCTAGGTTCATCTAACTAATGAAACTATCTTTGTCATCAATTTAACTTTTTGTTTTTTGCTGCTTTATGTTATAATTGAAATAAAGAGGAAGAGACCATATGGCCGAATTTAACTTGTTTTAGAGTACAGTTGGCGAATACATCATAATACAAAAATCAAATGGTTTCGAATCTATTAATTAAGCTGTTTTTATTACTGGATTTGGTGGATTTAATTACATAACCGCAAGGTAGTTTTACAGTCGTTTGAAAGTTGGCGTAGATTTCGTTATACAAAAATTATTTAATATGAATACCTTTTATATGAGCATTTCTATTGCCGCATTTGGTAGAACTAAAATTATGACGTAATTTTAGTATTTTTGAGTTTTCTGTTTGTCACCTTCTGCAGTTAATTTTTTTTTTATTAAGTTTCAGAATACAATTATTTTTTATACCATCCACAACTTTTTAGGACTCTTGACCTGTTAATTCTGCAGTTTGCATGTAACATAGCTGTTGCGCGAATCGCTATTTATCAACTGATTAGATATTAGTAGCTGTCTATATAACATTTAGAATACCCGCTTGAAATATCTTAAATAATTACCATCGGTTTAAAAAATTTTAAAAACTTGAAATGGCTTAAATACGTGGTATACAAGGCCAGCGCGATAAGTGTGTGTGTGTGTGTGGGGGGGGGGGGGTGTGTGTGACTCCTCCTCATCAATAATTTTTAGTCAGCAAATTTGACCCTTAGTCGGAAAATGTAACCCTTTTTGACTAGTTAGTCGGCAAATGTAGACCCTGTCGATAGGTTAGTTAGTAAAGTAAGTCGGCAAATGTCGTTATGGCAGTCGGTAAATTTTAAAAAACGAGGACCTTTTTTTTTTTTTCTTTTTTTAAGACGGCAAAAGTTATAAAGGCACTCCCTCCCGCCACACGTAACACCTACTCGGGCCGGACCTGGTGTTATAGCGGACTTATCAGTATACGCTATACCTAGAGGCGTAGTGTATACTGGTCTATTCCACTAGTGGAAGTTTTTTTATATTTTCCCCTAGTGGAAGTTTTTTATATTTTTTATATAAAGAGATTAAACATAAATCGTTAACTCAAAACAAAGTTTTTTATATTTTGCTCTTTTTTAAAACTTATTTGAGTTGGAGTGCAACCATTTTAAAAATTTTGCTTTTTTTCAATAAGTTTTAAAAAAGAGCAAAATATAAAAAACTTTGTTTTGAGTTAACGATTTATGATTAATCTCTTTATAACTTCTACAAAAATAAAGTACAAAAAAAATTAAAAAAAAGCGATAAGGGGCATATCATTTTTTTCTTTAAAAAGTTTCTATTTATATTTTTTTACACCATCCGCAGCTTTTTATATCTTTTGAAACGTTAATTTTGAAGAAAGTTAAAGTTGGCATATAAAATCTTTTTTTTATAGGAAAGAAAATTGTCTCTGTTAAACGTGTTCTGCACGTTAAACGTGCAAGCTATTTACTTAAGCACATAAACAAAATAAGATGTTTATTTTAAACAATAATAAATTGATTATAAGCATATAAACTTTGTGTGCTTATTATTATCTTATTTTAATTTCTATCATGGTATATGTGCAAAAATATTTCAATCGTGCTTTCACGTTTTCAAAAAATTTGAAAAGCTCTTTAAAATTCTCTCTCTTTTGTTTGTTATAGAATGTAAAGTTTTTATATAAGTCATGCATATAATATCCATCGTATATTTTAAATATTTTGTTTTTTATTAGAGAAAAACTAAAAAAAAAGCCACAATAACGGCGAGTACGTCTATGTATCATATCTACAGCGTGTATTTATACATCATATCTACAATGCCTTCTGTCTTACCAGTTAAAAGCGTCCGAGTCCTTTTAATATTACACGCTAAGTAAAATGCTATTTTGATAGTTTTTCTAAATTCTGTCATTGTTGCGCACTCGTTTTAAAATGATTAACGGTGGTGTGGTAAAATAGCTGTAAAACTTTAAATTTCTTATTACCCTAATAGTATGTATTTTTAACTTTTTACTACTTTTAAAAATGAAAATTTTAATAAAATGGTTTAATTTAAATATATAATTAAAATTTTAAATTATGTTCTTAATAAAAAAATATTTTTTAAACCCCCATATTGTTTAAAAAAGAGAACGTCGCCGCGTGGCAATAAAATACCAGCTTGCTTTTTTTTAATATTTGTTATTTAAAATGCAAAACAAAACAACTCTTTAGGTGAGAATTTTAAGATAAAAGCAAAAACAACTTCTTTATAAAGATTATTTTCTCAATCTTCATCAAATTGTTTACAACTTTGATATTGAGCTGCTTTTTAGAAGTACATTTTAATTAGAAGAAGCAGATAATCACTTGATAACAAATTTTTTTCAATAACATTTTTAATATAATATAGTATATATAAAACCATTTAATAAAGAAATATGAAATATGATAAGCATTTATTAGGCAATGAAAAATGAAGAATTTTATTAACAGATATTGACTCCAAAACAGTTGGTATGCCTGATGTTTCTTAGCCTGTTTTGTTGCATTTTAAATGCTGCATGTATGAAACATGCAGCATAATAGAGTATTTACATTTCAAAACATTGTTTTGCAGCGTAAATATTTTAAAGAAAAATCGATGTTTTATACCTAATAATTGCTATTACGATAAATGCAAAAATACAAACCTTTTAAATTATTTCCAATAGAGAGTTGTGGGAAGTTTTAGCAACATGTAAGGTTATTTTTAGTAGCACGTTGGTGTGTGTTGATATAGCGAACTGAAAGCCTACCCAGACAGCAAGCTTACATTAGCCCAACGTAAGTTTTAACATTGGCAAGTTTATTTCGTGGGGCCAACATTTAGCCAATGTTTTTTTTCGGCGTATTATTTTCAATTCTGCAAATCGGTTTTTTGCAAATATCGTACTATATTGGGCCAACATTTGGCCAATGTAGTTTAGGCTTAATATTTTGCTATAAAAATCTGTTCTTACATTTATTCCGAAGCCAAAGTTCGGCCAATGTAGTTGCGGATTAGTATATACTTTTGTTGCGAAACATTTTTAAAAATGGTATCGTTTGACAGAATAAAAAAAGGTTTTGATAATATCTTTCCAATTTTTTAAATTATAAAAATAAAAAAAAAAAGCTATATTTATTAATCTTCTAAGAATCTTAAAAGGTTCCTTATAAGAAATAAATTATAAGAGATTTTCGTGACTTACCGTTTTGTTTTTTTAAATAATGAAATATTTGTTAACATTTAAATAATATGCTTAAAACATTTTTTACTACAATCTAAATTAATAATTTAATAATAAAGGCAATAATCAATATATTTTTGTGTAAGATCTTAACGTTATTTTTTTTATTTTTATTGCTGTATGGGCATTTCAAATGTTTGATTTATATTTAACAATCTTTATTAAATAAATGAAACATTTCAAATGTTCAATTTATTTGATAAAGAAGACATTTTAAATATTTTCTTTACTAAAAACAAACATTTAAAATGTCATACAGTATAAGTTTTTTTTTTCATAATTTGTTTATAATAGTTTATATTATATAGCTATTGAAAATTATATTATTAAAGGTATCAATAATATATATGTGGCATTGATGTTGTTAGAAGCTAATATTTTACATTTTAAATATGTCTCTCTTGTTTGATTTTTTCTGAGTTTGATTGTGAAACCCCATCTACTAACATATTAAAACAGTGTACACAAAGTGATGTTACTTGAATTTATATTCTACTTATGTAGAGTTTTCTAATATTCCATCTTTCTGAGGCAGAGGGACATTATTCTTTTTTAATTATATTTTTTCTTATTTTTTAATTTAATATCTCTGGATATTTTTCATAATTTGTTAGCGTACAACAGTTAACAAATTTAAGCTTATACGTTAACTTTAGTTATAACTTAATTAATAATGATTTGATTGATAGATTTTTAAAGCAATACAAGATTGAATTTAGCAGAAGGCTAAACTTCTGCTCTGGAGACAAAAAAGAAAGACAGCGAAAATGACCAACCAAAATAAAGATTAAAGAGACAAAAAGTTGTGTATATTTTGGTGTAGATGATTTATCCTCAGTTTCTTATAATAAAACAAAAAATGTTATTAAACTTTGGGATTTACCTGTAACTCCAAACTCTTTACAGAAGTTCAATGTTTGCTCTGAGAAGTTAAATGAACAAAATTTATTAAGTGGTAAGTTTTTATATAAAAGTCTTTATGTCTGATGATTAAAAGTCTGTTTACATAGCTTTAACTTTTACAATTTTAAAGACTTTTTCATATGTTACGGTCAAAAAGTCAGAGTGTTAATTAACATTTTATTGTGTGATAATAAACATATCAAAGCTTACACCATAGGCTTGGTCGGGAAGCAGGAGCAATCATTCTTGAATACTGACCATGGAAATTATAATTATAATTTAGTTGCGAAAAACTAGCCAGGTTTTTTAGTCGTTTTGAGAATATTTAAGTTTATGAACGTAACAAAAAATGTTTGTTGGATTTAAAAGTTAGTGTCACCAACATTAAAATCCATTTGAAATCAACTGTTGAAAAAAACAACAGAGTGTTCATATCAGTTTAAAGTTTTATTAAATGCTGGTGGTTCATTATTATTTATTATATAAACATTTATTTAAATTTATCTAATAGACGAAAAGCAATATAATATTTTTATAGATGATACTTTTTTTAAAAATTGTAATATTAAAATTCAGAACTAAAATATGTAAAAAAAAAAATTGTTTACAAACATTGGACAAGGTCTGTACTGTACCTGAAAAATCTGGAAAATATATTAATATTGGCCAAAGTGGTGGAAAACCTGGAAAAGTCAGGGAATTATTTTTTTCTTTAGATAGTCATGGAAAAGTCAATATTTCTAGTTAAGAAGTTACTCGTTTCACTCTCTTGTAATCTTTTAATTTTGTGACGCCATATTTTCAAAATACAGCACTCAATTACGCTATTATGTTTTTTTTGGTGCTACCCATTTATTTTTTCTGTAACTTATGTTTTTCTTAGTGTTCATTCTTAGTTATTCTTAATAATAAGATTCATACTAACATGTAAAATAAGCTTTATAATAATATCCAACTTAACTAATAGCTAAGTTTTATAAGTTTTGTCATTTAAAGCATGTACAATCTTAGCATTTTCATTACAGTAGATAGTAATTCGTTTATTTTTTCAAAAAAAGTTATTGAATTTTATTTAAATAGTTGGCTAGAAACCCTGCTGGAGAAACATTGTTTTAGTAAGAGTTTTTTTGTTTTACAGTGCAAAACAATTCTTGTTAATGTTTAAGATACAGATCTTAAACATTAACAAGAATTGTTTTGTGTCAGTGCCAGAAATTGAATGCATACCTGCAAATTTCATAATTCATAAAAATATCATGAATCCATTAGCAAGTATATGATTTTATCATTAAAAATTTGCTCCTCTGTCTTTTATTTTATCTGTTTTATTAGTGATTGTTGTATTTACTTTCATAAATTCTAAATATACTATATAATTAGTTGTATAGTTTCTTAATAATATAGTTAACTTTATTGTTTCAAGATAAAGTTGTATCCTTGAAAGATATGCTCTTATTACTGGCACAATGGGCAAGCATTGAAGTGCAACTTGGTGATCTACAAAACACATCAAAAGCAGTTATAAAATTTTGAGTAACAAAGGTATGCTAATTATTGTGTTGCCTGAAAGAGTGTCATTGCTGTAAAAAAGACAAGAAAATACTTAAGTAAATGGTAAATATTTTTTTATAATCTGTTTAGGCATTTTGTATAATATCTTAGTACAATTAATATACTTTAAATAAAATACTCTTTGAAGATTTTTTGTTAATGACTTTTTATATTAATTTAAGTATAAGGAAATGTTATTTTAATTATTGCCAGGTTGTGTATTTTTGCAGGTCAACTAATTGGCACATATTGCTTGAAGTTAAAGACGAAGGAGATTGTATATGTTATTTACTAAGAATAGTTTTTTAAAATGGCCCAGCTGTAAAGTTAAACTTTGCAGGGAGAGTACAAAACACTGGAATAGGAAAAATATTGATTGCATAAGTTGCTATTGGTAAGTGGTTTAGAAAAGTTTATTGTTTCAGTTCAATTTTGCATTACAAAATTACTTTCAATTTGTTATGTTTCTTTGGTGCATAATTAAACAAACAACTTTTTTTTTTTTTCAGAAACTGTCAAGTTAAATAAGCATAGTTTATGCAGACATGTGATAGAGATAGCGGAACAAAAATTAATAATCGTGGGCAACAAATATCATGAGCTAAACACGATTCAATAAAAAGTAGTTCAGCCATTATCGAAACTACTCTATAAATTTTATAGTGAATTTTTTCATTTGTAACTCAATGTCAGTTTTTGGTATAAGTTTGGTGTTGGAAATATGTATATTTAACCAAGAAATTATGTTAAATAAATTTTATACTTGTATCATGCATTCTTTTTTTCTCTATTATTTTTCAATGTAGCAATGCAAACCATCTTATTTGTAGCAACGATTTAATGTTGCATAAAACGTTAAGCCGGTATAAAAATAATAATCGTATAACATACTAATGTATATCTGGCCAATGTTGTATACAACTTTAGCCCAATGTTGCATACAACGTTGGGCCAATGTTACTTACAAGATTGGCCTAACGTTATCCTCAACGTTGTGCCAATGTTGGGTGAACTTTGTATTCAACATTGGGCAAATGTTGTACACAACGTTGGGCCAATACCTAACCAATGATCAAACCTGCAACATCGACTTTCGGGTTTTCAACCCGAAAGTCGATGTTGGCCCGATGTCGATTTCGACATCGGGCCAACATCGACTTTCAACGTTGGGCCAATGCATTATCATGCATTGGCCCAACGTTGGTCGAATGTAAGCTTGGTGTCTGGGTATTTCAGTACTCTGTGTTATTAGATAAACTGAAACAGGCAATAAGTTAACAAAAAATCCAGCACAAAATATTGTAAGTACTCAAATAAAATCTAAATATTATTAAACCATATTAATAAAATAAGAATAAACCAATTATAGTGCAAACAAGACCATACGAAAATTAACTATTTTTAATAAATTTCGTTAATAACCATAACGAAAATTAACTATTTTTAATTGAGCCGTAAAAAAACTGGCCTCTTAATTTTTTACGGCAAAAGCAACAAATCAGGCCGTGTTATTTAAGTAGGCCATGCTTACATAAAAAAGTGCTGCTATCTTTCCCGCTATTACCTCGGTTGCATTGGATGCCAAGAGTATCGTGTCAAACAGGCTCGAATGGGCACTACTACTACTTCTATTAAGTTTAGTATTATTAAATAGATATTGTAGCTAGTGACACTTTTATTAATTTAAATACTATTAATATTAAAGACTTAATAACTATACTTTTTTATTACGTATTACAGCGCTAGTATTACGAATCATTAGAAACCTCAAGAAAAAGTAAGCAAAAGAAAGTTTGAAATTATCTCCTTTAGATTCCTCAGAGATTGCCAAAGCATTAAAAATTTGGATTCAATATACCCAAGAAAATGTCACCAGTACAATGAACTATAAACAAATTCAACGTGATTTAAATCTACGCCGTGTTGATGGTATTATACGTTGCTATGGGCGTCTAGAAAATGCCCCAATCCCATTATATATGAAATACCCTATCTTTATGCCACGAGCGTCTAAATTTAGTTTTGAAAAAATTTAAAAACTGAGGCAAATTTTTTGGGTTATTAAAAGTGAGGTTATTTCTATTTTATCAAAAACTTATAATTTTTTTGCAGTGGAATGAAACCATTCAGCATTTTTTTATGCTACTTATCCAAAATTCGATCCAAGGCAACTGGAATTTGATAATGTTGTAATGACATAGATCGCAATGTCAGGATTGTCATTTAATCACATCACAAGTGATGATTTCAAGTTCTGGGCAAAGCGTTTTGCTCCAAAATGTGTCATTAAGCATCCCACAACTTATTCAAGGTATTCAACATAATTTCAATTATGTTAAAAAGTTCGTTTCCAAGTGATAAAACTGAAATACATTTTCTAGGTACAAGCTGTCACTGTTGCATTCTCATGTCAAAAAACAAGTTGAAAATGTTGTTGAAAAGTCTTTAGAACATTGCACAACTGCTGCTGTCACCACTAACATGTGGACTTCTGCATTTTCAGGTGATTGTGTAAAAAATTATTATTTTTCAGATTTTTTATTTCAATTCATTGGTTTGTAAAATTTAAAAACCTGCATTTGTTAGAGGAAAGAATTAGGTGAGAATAAGTACGTTTTTGCAAATTATTTAATCTTTTGTAAGCCTTGTTCAAAAATACTTACTGCCTTTCTAGGATTTGTAATTAAATTTTGAAACAAAGGACAATGATATTTTCTATATAAATATTTAATTTATTATGTCGATCTAATTAATGCTAACGTATGTGTGCAATAGTTAAATATGTGTTTGGCCTTTGTGATAAGCTTTTAAATGTATAACATTTCCATTTGCATTTTTCAGGCTGATAGTCATGCACAACGGTATAAAAGAAACATTAAACTAACTACGCAGTATTTTTTTGGGTACCAAAAGCAAGAAATCAAGAAGCTTATTCGAAAGTGTCACTTATGCAAACGATTTAAAGGACTGCCTTACTCTAACCCCAAAGCACCTCCTTTACGCTTAAGTAGGCTAAATGATGATAACGGCTCACATTTTATCTCAAAAATGACACAAAATTTTATATCATTTTGTGGAATATTATGGCGTTTCAACCCTTCCACTACGCCGCGGTGGGGATTATTCTTTGAAATACTCGTTGCTTCCACAAAGCGCACCTCCGCAAAGTAACAGCTAATGCAAGTCTTACCTGCGAGAAACATTTAAATGTATTAGCCAAAAATGAATCCGTCATCAACGATCAATTACATTTACTTACGATAAACCAGTAGATACGCCATTGACGCAACGTCATTTATTGTATGGGAGGACATTAAACCTCTTAGCAATTAAAGATAACAATATAGAGTATACTTTAAATATTTACAACGCATACATTGATAAAGTTTTAAATTACTATAAGTAGCGATGGAGATACGAATATATAATCGAGCTGAGAGGATATTACAAATATATTAAAAGAAGAGGAACAAACATAATTGCAATAGATGTGGTTATAGTACATGATCCTAACATTAGGAGATAATTATGGAAAACTGGAATTGTTTACAGACTTATCAAATAACATGATAATCAAATACGAATTGCGGTAGTTAAGTATATCAGTAATGGAAAAGAATTTATTATTCAAAGACCTATTATTAAACTAAACTTTTTAAAAGGATTTGTTAAAACGTTGAACGAAGTAATAATTAACGTAAAGTTTTGCAATGAAAATGACATAAAACTCTTTGTAAATAATTAGGACTTAGTTATTTCATAGACAATATAAGGTAACAATTCTTTGTATGTCACACCAAGAGGATGTAAAAGCAATTTCAAATTCTGATGAATAGCACAGACGCATACAAAATGTGTTCCTGAGGCACCAACAGAAATACACCATTTAGGACGCAAGGTGCAAAACCTTAAAAACCCTATTTTTATTTCGGCTCTTGGTTTTAAAGGCAACAAACAATTCCTTTAAATTACATAAGAGCAAACGTTTTTGCATGTGGACATTTTTCTTTATGCTTACATAGTCCTTTTTACCATGCATTATACGGCTATGTTCATCGTCTTCGTGAAAGGTCTTGACCAGTTGAACTGTTACATAAGGAAGAGCTTTTCATAATTTAGGATTAGGCATGGTTAAAATACCTTTTTTTTATGTTAACTTACGTGCAGTTTGAGCTACATAGTTTGTTAAATGCAATGTTTCAGATACCTTTTTTATTGACCAGTCTGTTGGGGCAAGTGTCGCTAGTTTTATTTTTTTTGATATTGATTAGACTCTGCAATTTTGTTAAGAAACAATACCATCGTGTTATCAAACAAGTTTGCTTTTTCCATCTACTCATTAATAAAACTTGACTGTTCTTCAAAACGTTCTTTTGATATATTAAGGGAAATGGCTACCTTTTTTTTAATAGAGTTTGTTAATGCTGTCAATTATCGTTTACCTTCTCTGGTTTTATTTGACTTGTACAATCTTTTGACCTTAATTGGAGATACTCCGGCAGATGCAAAGTGTGTATCTACACTTTCTTTTTTATTTTGAATGAATCTTTCGTTAACAATATCAAAATCTTCATCCTTTTTATTTTCACTTATACTTTTTGATAAACATGCCATAACTTTTCTTTGACAGGTTGGACACAGTTTTTTTCCAGGTATAAGATTTAAACCTATGGTTTCTGCTTCTAATACAGTATGCATTGTAATCACACGTAGAGATGCTTAAAAAGAAAGTAATTACATTACTTAATTAACATTAATTATATATATTATGTAGTTATATTACTATACAATTTGTTATATTGAATCATTCTTATTACCAAAAAAACATATATGACTTATTTATAACGATATTACCTAATGAAATATAAATGTATACATTTTTACCTCTACACACCTTTTGGTGAATCAGAAATGGATTACAGCAACTTTTCTGATTACCCTCATATCTTATAACTAACATATCATGATGGTGTGTGCATATATTAGTAATTTGTTTTTGTTTCAGATTTGTTCGTTTTTCAAGTAGCTTACGATCATTGCTGTCAATATCTTCAATCAGATTTCTTTCTTGAGTATATGATTGCTTATAACAAGCTCCATAAATATTTACAAAGCAGCAATTAATTTTGTTATCCATATAAAAATATAAATAGGAATCTCTGTCTAAACACTTAATACAAGAAATCTTAAATAATCTTAATGTCCCTAACAAGATAAGTACACTTGAACACAAACAATATTATATCAATATGTATTTATAAAGAACATATTGCTTAAACAAGTAGCTATTAGTTTAATAGACATATTTTCAATGCCTAACTATCAACTAATTATTGTAAATTCATCATTAACTACTTACAAAAAGTTGTGTAAAAGTAAAAGATAACTAAATATACTTTAATTTAGTTATGTAACTTAACATGGTAATGTTAATTAGACATTATTATATCATTTTATTACTTTTTTTATTGATGATAATAAATGTTTTATTACAACAAAACAATCAACAACAAAAGTTACATAATATTGTTAAAATTAATGACATGATATTATTTAATGAAAATGACATTATTATTATTTAATGAAAGTAAAAAGAAACAAATTTATGAAATGTTTAACTATGTTTTGTAATAACTTTGTAAATTTTTGACAAAGCTATTACAAAACAAAAATAATTGTTTTGTAATAGCTTTGTAAAAAAGATTTTTTTTTGCAAAATATCTTCAGAAAAATTGAAAAACTAAAACATCAATAACTCCTTGATAAAA